AGCGGCCAATACAACACGAAGAGCTAGAGCTCTCATGCCAACACTAATGAGACGACTCCCGTGTGAAACCATACACGAGCCCTCGTTAGCTTGTTCATGGATATCCAATGCATGAATCTCTACTCTAAAGCCGCTGTATTTTCCATTCTAGTATTGACCCACATCACCCATTAGCTCTTCGGGCTCATCCATTTGCTGACCTCACGATGTCAGCCATCGGACATGGATAGATAGGGTTGGACGCCCACTCAATATATTATCAACCCGAGAGCTCACAAATCGTCTTAAACCTGTTTAACTGCCTACTTTGCCCCTAAAACCCGAACCCGAAGACCTCTCCCACGCCGCAGCCATGGTCTCACGAGCGCACCGTCAATGCAAGGAATGGATGAGCTCGTCCCTCATATTTTGGAGGAAGGATCGATTCCTATTGTATTTTTTTACAAACAGGAGGGGTTTAATCCCTACTGTATTCTCAACCAATTGGCGATAAGGGGATGGTCCTGTCCCGTCTCCTGTCCCGAGACGTTCTCGAAACCAAACATGACACGGACACAGGCTAATGGCTCGTTCGCTTCTTTTATAATCCGTCTTTTTTAACTTGTTTTTTTTAGCTGGAACAATATTTTTTTCTCACAACAAATTAGTCGAAACAGTATTTTGACTTGTTTTTTCAGCAAAACGAACGGGCCAATGTAGGCAACAATGTTTGGGGCAACATATAAACATTATACGTAAACAATTGGTGCTTCTGTGTGTGAACATTCGACGTAGCTCAATGTTCATTAGAGAAATAGTGAGGAATGAATGAAGAGAAGGCAAGCTGATGAATGTCAGGAAAATTACAATATTTTTTCGGTTCAGGAGGGGGCACATACTTTAATTTGGATTCAATAACCTACTCATCCAGGACTTATCTTCCGATGCTGTCAACATGCAAGCAGTCATATAGCCATCTGGTCCATCAACCAGCTTCCCATAAAATCATGCGGCTGTTTCTTCTTCTTCTTCTTCTTTTATTCTTATTCTACCGTGGCCACCTCCTTTCCATGGCCAGGGGGCAGCAGGGGCCGTGCCCCCGCCCTAACACAAGGAAACTTTATTAAATATACCTACAGAGTTTGTTAATTTACAATAAAAAAATGCGATAATTCATCTATTTTTAATCATAATTGTCGGTGTTTCGGATCACCGGCTAGTAAATTTGTATCTGCGCGTCTGGTCCGGATGGTGTGTTTGGAGGACACAAGGATTTATACTGGTTTAGGCGGAATGTCCCTACGCCCAGTCTGCTGCTGCTCGTGTTACCGGCACTGGTTTGTAGTAGGGGTTACAAACGAGCGAGGGAGGGAGAAGTTCCCAAGTCTCTGGTGAAAAGATCGAATGGAGTTAAGTCTTGCTGAGCTTGTTCAGTCGTGTGCTCGTTAGCTGTTCCTCTTCTTGAAGCGTCCTGCTTCCCCTTTTATAGGTGAATGGGAAGGCGTAGGTTACAGAGAGAAAGAATGAGAAAAGCGAGGGAGAAGAAGGCCTCAAGGGCGGCCGGGTCCTTCTTCTCCTTCATGCGGGTCCCGCCGACGCTGTAGATGGTGACGGAGACGGCTCCACGTCGGGCTCCGGTTCACCACTGGTGCCATGCCCCGGCGTCATCAGCTGGTCGTGGCATCCCATCCTGTCCCAGTGGACGGCGTGGCGAACCGACGTGCCTGTCAACGGCCGTACGAGGAGTAGGCAGCACAACGACCACGCACACGTCATTGTTGGCGATGTGAACCCCGGGCGTTGCCTGACGTGGCCATGGGTCACGTCGAGACGTGCCCGCTTCCCTCCCGGTGTTAGAAGTTTGACCCCGGGTTGTACCCTCAGACCCGTAGTGGTTGAAGGCGGTATGGGTCCCCGTCGGACGAGACGGAGCCCGCGCCCCAGGGTCGGGCGGGACGGAGCCCATGCCCTCAGGGTCGAGCGAGACGGGGCCCATGCCCAAGAGGTCGGGCGAGACGGAGCCCGTGCCCTCAGGGTCGGGCGAGATGGCTCCCATACCCTCGGGGTCGGGCGACACGGGGCCCGTGCCCTCAGGGTTGGGCGAGACAGAGACCGTCCCTTCGGGGTCGGTCGAGACTGAAGTACGTCCTTGATTATCTAGGCGAGTCATTGTCCGCGGTCCTCAGATCCCTTCTTCGGGTATCTCTAATACCGATACCCGACAATAATATTGTGAAAACGCGACAAATTCACCTATCTTTCGTAATGAATATTAACTACATATGTAAAAGCACTAAAAAAAAGTTGTTGAAATATACACTTATGCTGTCATCACATTTATTTGTCCCCCCTTAATTAAAGTTGCTAGTTCCGCCTCTTCATGGCTAGGTTGGTTTATCCGGCTGGGAAATCCGACAAACCATGGACCTATGATTGAAATTAAACGGCAGGTTGGGGCGTCCAGAGCTAGGGCCATGAGTATAGCCGATTCACTTTTCAGTTTTCACTTTATACAATTTATAAATCAAATTTACCAATTTACTATTTATTAAATAATAAAAAAGTAAAAAATAGGTAGTCTTAATGTTTTCAGTACTGTGCCCATCTGTTTGGTAATTTTCATTACTTTTGTATTGGTACCTTTTATTTTTCTACCTTTTTCTTTAACCACTCTAAAACGTATCTAAATATGTTTACAGAATTAATGGGATATAAGATTGAGCCAACTTCATTGGCAAAGAAGAGAGAATTACAATCTGGCTAATACGGAGTACAAAACCAACTCTCGCGCTAACAAAGACACTAATGAGCTGTTTGGTTGTACACGTTGGTAACGCAAACGTAAATGATTTAAAGCTGCGGACGTTACCAGTGGGAGCTACGATTAAACTAATTTTCTTCACGTTTGCGTTACCGTGGAAACAACCATACAGCACGTAAATGTCTTGCCCATGCAAAAAACCAGGTGGACGCTTCCTCCTCCATTGTTTCGAGCATAACCAAGGTGCTCCATTTCTTGCATTCGAACACTCCAGAGTTACTTTCCTTCCAGATTTTACAGAGGTTAGGAAACACCCTCTACAAGCGCGAGAGGCACTACCACTTACAACAGACCGTTGTAGTTGTTTTAGAGCCGTTAGCTAATTACTTGCAGACAAATTACGATCTAAAAGGGGCTTGAGAAATTCCCTTGTTGCCATGGACCAAAGAGAGCAGACATCCTTGATTTTCATGGACATTGCCTGGGCCGTGCGTCTCGAATCTCTGAAGACTACTGCATTTCATTGCTTCGAGATGCACCACGGGGTGAGGATGGCCAAGGTGTGTACCGCTTTGGTGCCTTCTCTGGTCACGACCAAGAACCAATCTTCACAGTCAGTCCCCTCTGTCCATTGTGGTGACCGTAGATTTCGACAGCCACTCCATGCTACAACTTGGCTCTAGATTAGAGGGGTGAAAGGGCACTCGATGAACAGGTGGGTAGAGGTTTCCAAATTCCTTTCACATAGGTCATAGAAATAATTATTCTCCCACCCGCTCATTTGCAGTCATGCTGCTGTCCATATTCTGTCTCGAAGGAGAAGCCACATAAAAAATTTGCATCTTGGCGGTGTCCAGGCTTTCTAGACGAATGTTGGAAAATTAGAAAGGATGTGGCCTTGATGTCGTAAGCCGACCTTGCTGAGGTCAGTTCCACTTCATTTTGCAAAATTTTTCAAGATTCTTCGTCACATCGAATCTTTGACACATGCATGAAGCATTAAATATAAATAAAAAATAAAACTAATTACACAGTTTAAACGAAATTCACGAGACGAATCTTTTAAGCCTAATTAGACTATGATTAGACACTCATTACCAAATAAAAAACGAAAATGGTACAGTACCATTTCGCCAAAAATTTTGTAAACTAAACAACCCCTGAGTACTTTCCTTCCCGATTTCACGAGATATCAACACAAACGCTTCGCGTCACTTTCTGTGGAAATGGACTTTGTGGATACATTGTCTCCCACCACTGTTGCATGTTATCACTAGGTGCCCATGCCAATCTGCAAAATATTATTTTGATTTTCACATGTTTTGAGAAGTACAAAACAACGAGTTCACAAAAATTCAACTAATAAATAGCTAATTTTGAATAAAGATATTAATAAAACCACATTCGAGTATCTATTTGGCTTGTGCAAACTATATAAATAAATAAGTAAGTAAAAAATATTGAATCAGAAAAAGAAAATATGTTAAGGTGCTAGTAGGTCCTCTAGAGATCAAGCAATCGTTACGTAGTCTCAACTAGGAACCATTGGCCAAATGCATCTTAAAGTCCACCAACGAGGAAGCACAATTATGAAAAAATATCAATGATGTCGCTTATAGAATTCACTAATATTGTAGAAAAGCCCAGTGCCGTGACAACGTGTCTGACTTGTACGCTGCCGCCTGCCAGTCTGCCGCCACGCATCAACCATCACCGATCTCCATGGCGGCCACCACTCGGAGGAATCATCATGTCGTGTTGTTCCCCTTTCCGGCGCAGGGCCACCTCGCCGGCTTTCTCGCCCTCGGTCGTCTCCTCCGCCGCGAGCTCCAGGATGGCGTCACGATCACGATCGTTTGCACCCCGCGCACCGTGGCCGCGCTGCGCTCCTCCGTGGCGGACGCGGACGCAGGGTCGTCCTCGAGCATAAGCTTTCACGCGCTGCCGTTTGTGCCGGCCAACCACGGCCTCCCCGCCGACTGCGAGTCCACCAGCTCTCTGTCCAACCGCGGCGACTTGATGAAGCTCTTCGAGGCCATCGACACTCTGGAGCCCGCCTTCGACGACCCTCTCGGGCTTAACTGGCGGGGTCCACAAAGGCGAGGAGAACGAGGAGCCCGCCGCCGCCAACGTCTGCGTCATCGCCGACGTGTTCGTCGCGTCGACCGTGGACGTGGTGCGCCGGCGCGGGCTCGCCCACGCCTTCTTCCTCTCGTGCGGCGCGTTCGGCTCCACCATCCTGCACGCGCTCTGGGCCAACATGCCGGCCCTGCCGTTCGGCCCTGACGGGACGCTACGGCTGCCGGAGCACCCCACGGTTGTGATCCATCGCTCGCAGCTATCGCCGATTTTCACCTGCGGCGACGAGAGGTCGACCGCGTACCACCGCCGCCACATGCCGCGTGGCTACCTGACGAACGCGGTGATCTCCAACACCGTCGAGGAGCTCGAGCCCACGGGGCTCGCCATGCTGCGGCGCACTCTCGGCGGCGTTCCGGTGTGGCCCATCGGCCCCCTGGTCCGTGGCGTTCCGACCTCAGTGTCAGACAAGGACGACGACGGCGGCAGCGACGGGACGATTCTCAGCTGGCTCGACACGCAGCGGCCATCGTCCGTCGTGTACATCTCCTTCGGGTCACAGAACACGATACGAGCGAACCAGATGGCGGAGCTCGCGGCGGCGCTAGAGTCGACCGGCCGGCCGTTCGTCTGGGTCGTCCGGCCGCCGGTGGGGTTCGACGTCAACGGCGCCTTCCGCGACGAGTGGCTGCCGGGCGGGTTCGAGACCCGCGCGCGCGCCGGCGGCAGGGGCCTCGTGGTCCGCGGTTGGGCGCCGCAGCTCCGGATCCTGGCGCACGCCGCAACGGGCGCGTTCCTGAGCCACTGCGGCTGGAACTCGGTGCTGGAGAGCCTCACGCACGGCGCGCCGCTCCTGGGCTGGCCCCTCGCCGCCGAGCAGTTCTACAACGTCAAGATGCTGGCGGAGGAGTGGGCTGCGTGCGTGGAGGTGGCGCGCGGCAACCTGGAGAGCTCGGACGTGGAGAGGTCCAGGGTGGTCGAGGCGATGGAGAAGGTGATGGGGGACACGGCGGAGTCGGAAGCGCTGCGGCGGCGGGTGGCGGAGGCGCGACAGGTGCTGAGCAGGGCGTGGGCGGAGGATGGCGGGTCGTCGCGGGCGGCGCTGCACGACTTCTTTAAAGCCATGCATCTGCTGTGAAACGGAGCATGAGCATGGCAGTACGCGCACTCGACTGTCAATGCTAGCACAAGAATTGATCGATCGCCACTGTTCCTTTCTCCTGGTTCATCGAGCGAATTGATCGATTGCCACTGTTCCTTTCTCCTTGTTCTTTCTACTTGTTCATTGAGCCACTAGGTTTCAGTGGACCGAATGAAAATCACAGTGACAAATCCTCCATAGGCTTGGGCGTTCGGTTTGACCGAACTGAACCGATCGATTCTTCGGTCATTTCGAAACTTCGGTCATCTAAAAATGGAGACCGATCGGATAATTCTAGAACTCAGAACCGAGCAAGTTCGGTCTCGGTTAGTTCGGTTCGGCCTCAATCATGGCTTAGACTTATTAGATAGAAAAACTACTAAATACTATAGTTTGTAGCAAATTTTAGAATTTTTTTTATTTGAAGGCAAAAATAACAATACAACATATAGATTAAACATGATAAGAGTGATTGTCGGTGTTTCAAATAAACACCAACGAGTAAATTTTTAATATTGCGCGTCTGACCCGGATGGTGTGCTAAGAGGACACGAGGTTTATACTGGTTCGGGCAGAATGTCCCTACGTCCATTGCTCCTGCTCATGTTACTAGCACTGAAAGTTCGTAGTATGGGTTACAAACGGGCGAGAGATGGACAGGTCCCAAGTCTCTGATGGGAGGAATGAATGGATGCCGAGAGCTCGATCGCTGCTTGGCTGCGTGTTTGGGGTTTGATGGATCGATCGGATTAGAGTCCAATGGTTCAATGCGATGTGTTGCGATTGTTCGATTCGAGTCCCCTTCATGGGACGCCCTTCTTTTCCTTTTATAGGCAAAGAGAAAGCACGGGTTATAGTCGAGAGAAAAGAGGAGAATGAGAAGGAGAATAAGTCTCCTAGGATCACCGGGTCCTTTTCCTTCACGCGTGTCCCGCCGACCCTATAGACGTCAACACGAACAGCTCCACGTCGCGGCCCTGTCCGTCACTGACGCCATGCGCAGGCGTCGTCTCCCGGTCGTGGCGCTCCACTCCGTCTTGACGGACATCGTGGTGAACTGACGCGCATGTCAGTGCCCGTACGAGGGTTAGGCAGAACAACACCGGTACGCCCGGTGCTGTTCCTGATGTGATTCCCCAGGTATGGCCCGTCACGGCCACGGGTTATATCGGGGCGTGCCGATCACCTCCCTGATGTTAGAGCTTTGACATAGTCCCATTCGCTTGGACCTGAAGTGGTTGGCGGCGGTGTGGGTCTCCGTTGGGCGAGGCGGAATCCGTGGCCCCGGGGTCGGGTGAGGCGGAGCGTGGACCCATGGGTCGGGCGAGGCAGAGCCCGTGGCCTCGGGGTCGGGCGAGGCGGAGTCCTCCCCTAGAGGCCAGGCGAGGCGGGGCGCAGACCCAAGGGTTGGGCGAGGCGGAGCGCGGACCTAAGGGTCGGGCGAGGCGGAGCCCGCGACCTCAGGGTTGGTCGAGGCGGAGTCCTTCCCTAGAGGTCGGGCGAGGTGGAGCATAGACCCAAAGGTCGGGCGAGGTGATGCCCGTGGCCTTGGGGTCGGGCGAGGCGGAGTCCTCCCCCAAAGGCCGGACGAGGCGGAGCGTAGACCCAAAGGTCGGGCGAGGCTGAACGCAGACCCAAAGGTCGGGCGAGGCGGAGCCCACGGCCTCGAGGTTGGGCGAGGAGGAGTCCTCCCCCAGAGGCCGAGCGAGGCGGAGCGCAGACCCAAGTGTTGGGCGAGGCGGAGCGTAGACCCAAGGGTCGGGCGAGGCGGAGCCCGCGGCCTCAGGGTCAGGCCAGGTGGAGTCCTTCCCCAGAGGTCGGGCGAGGCAGAGCACAGACCCAAGGGTCGAGCGAGGCGGAGCGCAGACCCAAAGGTCGGACGATGCGGTGCCCGCGGCCTTAGGGTCGGGCGAGGCGTAGTCCTCCCCTAGAGGTCGGATGAGGCGGAGCGCAGACCCAAAGGTCGGGTGAGGCAGAGCCCATGGCCTCGGGGTCGGGCAAGGCGGAGTCCTCCCACAGAGGCCGGGCGAGGCGGAGCGCAGACCCAAGGGTTGGGCGAGGCGGAACACAGACCCAAAGGTCGGGCGAGGCATAGCCCGCGTCCTCGGGGTCGGACGAGGCGGAGTCCTTGCCCAGAGGGCAGGTTAGGCGGAGCGCAGACCCAAAGGTCGGGTGAGGCAGAGCCCACGACCTTGGGGTCGGGCGATGCGGAGTCTTCCCCTAGAGGCCAGGCGAGGCGGAACCAGCCCTCAGAGGTCGAGTGAGGCGGAGCTTGAGCACCTGAGGGTCGGTTGGAGCTGTAGTGGCGCTGTCGACAGAATATCATCGGCAGTCCTCCGAGGGATATCCCACGAAGGTAGATTGATCGGCAGAGATGCGCGTAATCAAGAACAAGAAGGCAACAGAGACACAAGAGTTAGACAGGTTCGGGCCATCTGCACGATGTAGTACCCTACTCCTATGGTCTGTTTGTTTGTATTGGCTATCGTACGATATTGTGTGTGTTTTGAGGGGGTCCCCTACCCGCCTTATATAGCCGAGGGTAGGGTTACAAGTCGATTAGATCTAGGAGATAACCAGTAAGTAATAACAGATTACAGAAATCACGGGATCAAGTATATCCTAACATATCTCATAGCATCTTCAGGATATCGCCCTTGATGTCTTGCGGTACACGCCGAGCAGTACCATACACCGTAAGTCTTCGTCTTGTGGGCTGGACCAACCCTAGCGGCGTAGCCCATGTAGTCTACCATGGGTATCCAAGGTCATACCCCCACAGCTAGTCCCCGAGCGCCTTGTATCCGTTATGTAACGCCGTCTTGAGCTTATCCGAGCAGGTGTAAACAAAGTTGAGCAGTCAGACTCATAGTTCGACCACCCTAATGAGTCGCCGAGCAGTTGTGGACCGTAACCGACCAGCTTAACTATTCGGCCGAGCCTGGGCTTACCCAAGTAAGGCTTGCCAGAAGGATGTAAGGAGCTCAAGTTCAAAATCAAAAATTTCCTCGCTGTGAATCAAGTGTGCCCACTTAGAGTCCGACCATGAGAAAGGTAGATAATCTTCTTCAACTTCGGGAGGCACAGAGTCTTCCAATGAATAGATTAAAGAAAACACACTCACCACAAGGTGAAGTGTGCCCACTTAGTCCCCGAACCTGACAGTAGGTGACGTGATCACGTGGTGCCAGGGTCCAGAAAGTAGAAGAGAGACAGAAGACTAGCCGAACATGCAACCAGTCCACGAGCTGAGCCCTGAAATGAAAAGCGCACATTCACCGCAAGGTGAAGTATGCCCACTTAGTCCCCGAGCCTATAGTAGGTGACATGGTCACGTGATGCTAGGGTTAGAAACAACAGTAACCAGAAAAAAAAGTCCCCAGTATGGTGAGAAACCGAATCATAATGATGACGTAGTCCCTAAGCCACAAGTGGAAATCTTGAATAAATCAAGAAGTGGAAATCTCAAATCGTGGAGAAATAACCGAGTAATGACTGTACAGTAGAAATTACTGAGCCTTGATGGTATTGCGGAGAGGTTGGTGAATATTCGGTGTGCAATACTGAGTTGCGTAAAAAAAATGGGCGATATGAGTCGTAGTTGCGTGGAAGCCTAGATAACGGCCCAGCACGCCGCTTTGGGGAATTCAGAAGGGCGCAAATCAGTGTGGTGCAGTTTCCTAAAACTCTTAAAGGTGAAAAGTCGGGAGGGTGCCTTTATAACTACGTCGCCGCACTCCACGCTCCCACCTTTGCCACTCCGTCACTTCGTCTTCCTCCTCGCCTTCGCGCTCCCCCGTTCACATTCACACGTGCTTCACCGCTAGGGCTAAAAAGCTTGCGTAAAGGGACCAGTTCCATCTAGATTTGAGGATGGCGCGGAAGAGAGGAGGTGGTAACACGAAGAAGGCGGCCACCGGGGCAAGCCATGACAAGGAATGGGTACCGTCACTCATGGGGGAGACAGAGCTCAATGAGATGGTGGAGGCGGGCGTTCTTCCTGATCATGTCACCGCCGGATGGCGTCCGGCCAATGGTGAGCCTATCCAATGCCACACACTAACGAACTCGTTGTATTCGAAGATTACTTCTAGCGTGGATTAGGGCTTCCGATACATCCTTTCTTGCGGGATTTGTTGGAGTATTGGGGAGTGAGCTTAAGTAATCTTCATCCAAACACAATTTTGCACATTTATGTCTTTATCCACTTCTGTGAGGTTTATCTTGGCATTCTTCCCTATTTCAATCTCTTTCGACACGTTTTCTGGCTCAAGAAGAAAGAAGGGGGCGATTCCAAAGTTGTCGGCGGTGCGTATCTACAGCTCCATGATGGCATGGCGAGTGAATACATTCCTATGCCGCTGAATACCTCGATGAAGGGGTGGAATGCCAGGTGGTTCTATATGAAGCAAACTAATTCTGATGTCCGATGCAATGTCGAACAGATTCTGGAGAATCAAAGGAGCTGGTCGGAGAAACCGACCAGTGCCGATATGGAACAGGTGAAGGAGCTCCTTGAGCTAATGAGGGCCATGAAGACGAGCGGAGTGGTGGTGGCGGTGAACTTCATATTGCGCCACGTCCAGCCCTGACGAAGGAGGCTGTGCTACACCAGGCCGCTGAACTATTTGCTCCAAATGTGTCATACACCGTGCCAAGGTAGCTGAAACCCTTCAACTGTTCGAACTCACCTCCTCAGTTAAAAATCTCGACTATTTTTCCTGGTGCTTTTTATCCCGTGTCGACACTGAACTGTGGACTAATTCGCTTGTGGAAAGATCAATTGGTAGGAACGAGCGGCGTACTTCTCGGGCATGCCGAGGAGCGATTGGCCAGAGGCAGTGGACGCTAGGCGGACCACTCAGCCGAAGGAAGGTGCCGTCAGCACCTCATCCGAATCTAGAGGCGAAGGTGCTGGTCAAAAGGAGAGCCCCCCCGGTATCGGAGAAAGTTCTGGGGAAAAGGGCGGTGAAAGATGAGCCGGCCCGAAAGAAAAG